CTTGGCCTTGTTAAAGGTTATATTTTGGATGTTTGGGAGCTAAGAAAGCTTAGGTTATACGGCGATAATCCCAGCATACAACAGACCTAGTCTCATATTACGTCTGGGGAGCTACAGGGTGTCGCTGGTGGAAGGGGTGAGTTGAGGTGTCTGGGAGGTGAGACAGACACCTCATGTTCATATGGTGCATGTTCGTTTGTTAACGGTTCCGCCCATTGCTCTGGTCTATGGCCCTAGTGTTATGGCAGCCACCTGAGTATTATTATGATTATTGTATGCTTAGCTAAGTTAAATCGTGAACCGAGTGGCACAGATCGTCTAGTATTCCACGCTGTATGTCAGGGTTACCAGGGGTACACAAGGGGTACGCCGGCTCAACCACTGCCAACAGGCCTTCACTACCTCCTCTTGACCGGCTATCTTCCACTAACTACTGGACCGCCTTTCTCGCTGGAGCGCTGCCAATACACGCTGGACCACTGCCGATGGGCCTCCACCGACTCTGATGTCTTCCGCTAACTGCTGGCTTGCCCTTTCTCGCTGGACCACTGCTGACAGGCCTCCACTGATTCCTCTAGATCACCTTCTTTGCTGGACCACTGCCAATCAACAGCAACCCCTGCCAACGGGCCTCCGACTCCTCTAGACTGGCTGCGCCATTCTCACTCGGCCACTGTCGTTCTGACTCATACTCTCACTAGCTGAAAGGATATGGATAATAGTGCCTCAGGTAAGAGATTGAGTGCAGGTGATGAGCAGACAATTACAGCAACGAAGAAATGGCTTACTAGCGTAGGTCCAGGTGGTGCAGGTCCTAGTAGCGGCACTGGTCCTTGCAGTGGGACACCAGTTTTCCCCTGATAATAGGTGGAAATAAGGTTGTGTAGACTTCACGGGGAGACTGATTGGACCCTGTAGGTGAAGTAGCACGTTGTGGGGAGCCACAAGCATGTGTTAAGGATTAACACAGGCACCTAGGAAACCTTTTGCGTCACTCCTCTTGTTGCACACGAGTTTTCTCTGGGTTCTTATCACCTGCTGAAAACAAAGAGCGAGAGCTTCAACTCCCGTGGGGTCAACCTACTGTTGCAGTACGCGGGCAAACTTCCAGTTCCAAGGGCCAATTGTGCAATTTACAAGAGCTGCCAGTACTGTCTGTTCCACATCCAAAGAGTCAAGGGGATAAAGCAGTTGTCTTCCCCATCGAGGAAGCGTTTATGGCAGGTGAACTCGGAGCCATAAATCGGTTCCATACCAACCTGAGGGGAGCTTTGGAAGCAGTTGCAGCACTCAACTTTACAAATCCAGCGAGAAACTAGTTTTCCAAGACAATCTGGACTATATCAGTCGTACCGCCAAGTTACAGTTTACGGAGATTTTTAAATCGTAAGTAGCTTATGCGACTGCATTGTTTTTGCGTGCAATCATCGGGAACTATAGTTTTGGTAAGTTTCTGCAGGCTCTCTCTGCACGCTCTCCCTGAAAAACTGTTCTAGCTGTTGTATACCCCCATATTTTGTAGCCCTATCCTACAGACTGGTATAGGTTTTGTGGGGCACCGAGGGGAGCACAAAAAGTGCTCTGTGTTCAACAACACCCATGTTCCGCAAGTGCTTAAGGCACTTTAGTCTTGTAGTAAGCCATTGACTGACCCTATCATGAGAGCAGCCAAATCACTGGCAAAGCTTTACACTTTAGAAATAAGTGTGTTACCATCGTGGAGATAGGAGAGTAGAGCCCTTTCTAATTGTTTCAGCGCAACCACCACAAATTTTAATAAGCTTCAAAAAATGTACATGCACCTCCGCATTGCAAACAGTACATGCATACAGTATTAGTTTTAAATGTCTGTAGACTCATCATCCATTAGCACAATTGAAGGGTTTGCTCTAAGCTTTTGAAGCACACTATGTTCTATCAACACTCCGCCATTCATTGATTCTGCGATTAGAGGGATAATTAGCAATATTTAGCTCTTTCAAAACGTGCATCCCAAATGAATACACAGTTCTGTAAAACGAGCAACCTTATCTTTACTAAACCAGTATAAAAGCTTTCATTACTCCCATGAAAGCTTTTTTTACATACAGCTGTCTCAAATGCATGCTGAATGACACTTGTAGACAGAGCGACGGAACACAAAGCTTCTTTCCTTCTCTGAACGTCGATGCATATCAGAGATGGTATATATTTCTTCACCTTGTCCTGCCGTATTAGCATGCACAGCCTGCTAGCCCAAACCCCAGACATGCTGTGAGGACATGAGTCATGCTTGATACACACAGTGCAGTACATGCTCTGGTGTGCCAGGGCCACTTTGTCTCCCACGTGCTATTGTAGCAAACCTGAATCCATGACGAGGAGTGTCACTTGTGCCGGTATCCTTGTCTTCTTGCGTGCTAGAATTATTAGAGGGTAGAGTAGAATTCGATGCGTATAACTTGTGGAGGTGTCGCAAGACAGCTGCGCAGGGGCTGGTCATCATCACGCTCTGGAGTGTTGATCTCTGCCTGTTTATATTCTAAAGACCAGAGCTGACTCGCTATAGACACCGGAGCAAAAAAGCAAGTAATCTTATTCAATATCACATGCCACATGTACATACCGTGCCCATGTGTGCATGCGTGCGTGAACTAACAAAGCACTGGGGTATATCCGCAATGGCGGGATAAGTATGGTTTAGCCCCTTCAACCTGGAAAACGCACGCCGCTACTTCAAAAATGGCAACTCATCTCCCCATTCCCTGTTTAAACACACTCTGCTGCCTTGCTCCATTTCTCACAAAGAGGGGCTTTCTCTACAGACAGCCAAGTCGCTGTCAGCATAGCGAAACCAGCAATTTGTCCCTTGGTCTCCCACACCTGGGAGACCAGTCACCTATTCCTGTATTGAAGATGGTCCTCGCAGACAATTTGCCAGGCTCATTCGGTTTGTAACCAAGGCCGAGATTACCAATAGCCGTCCAGATCCTTACCCGGATCCACAACACACTGTCTCAGCTCCCACGACCAGAGAGCACCCTTGTATGGGCCATTTTTGCCCCAGCATTTTTGGGATTTTTTCATTTACTGGATGATACTTCAGCGCGGCCTATCCTGGGGACATGTTGCTGTCGAAAGCGATATCCCCATCCGTGGTAAAAATCAACCTTTGATGCTCCAAATGTGATCAGTTTGTGCAAGGGGGTGGACATCGTTGTTAGCCACACTGATGCACTGCTCTGCCCTGTCGCGACTATATCCGACTGCACCAAGACCTTTCTGATGGGTGATGGCACCCAAACCATTAAATCGTGGTTCATTGGCCAATATCCTCTCATCCCCCCCTTCCAAGGTGATTATGCCGGTCACAGTTTCAGGATTGGGGCTGCCACCATAGCGGCCATGGCAGCAGTGGAGGATTTGGCGCTGGCAGAGTGCTGCCTTCCTGCAGTTAATTGGGCAACACTGGAACAACTGGCAGTCATTTCATGCCAACTCGCCACCGCAGGATCCTCCCCTGTGCCGTTGGATTCCGTCGGTGCTTAACTTGAGTGTCATGTGTTCTGTCCCTCCTTGCACTTATATTCTGCCCTACCTCCTCATATGCGTACACCCCTAATAGTTGTCCACAAGGAGGTGCTTGACAAAGCTCCTTAAAAAGTAAGGAGGTAATGCCTATCACGTGGTATACCTACAATGGCACGTGTATTGTTGGGGTCGCACTCAATGTTACATCGTTTTTACTCTGACTTTACGCTTGGGGCAGGCTGAGCCCTCGATCCGCCAGGCTCGATCTAGCGCCGTTCAGCAGAGAGGGCCGGCTGGGGCCTCCACCCTTTTCGACGGTGCGCGCGCTGCTAGCGGGTGGGAAAAATCACCAGTAGTACACGCTAATGGAAAGAACATCCATCGGTACGGTTATGGCTTCATGCGGAACAACTTGGGGAGAGGAGGAAGTGAAAGGGTTGTTAAAGATTTGGGGGAGTGAGAAAATCCAACGTGAGTAAGATGGAGCAAAGCGAAAACAACCGCTACATGAAAAAATCGCAAAAGGACATGGATTCAGCAGAGATGCTGACGAAATAAAAACAAAAATTAAGAACTTGAAATCAACATATCCGTCAATTAAACTGGTGTACATTACTTTAGAGCCAACCTTTCGCTACACGTGGGTGTTAATCCACTAAAAGGAAGGTGTGTCATTTACACGTAATCTCGGATTAGTGCTGCACGTGTAAACGCGCAGGGATTTGTAATACAGGATTGTAATCCGCTGTGTAAATGTGCCAATAGACCACATAGACCCAGTCATTTCTCAACCTTCTTCACACTAGGCTGTGCAAAACCTCAAAACACTGCTCTTGGAAGCTATCCAAGGTGTACTTGACTTGTTTTCTCGCCTTCGCCTTGATACTTCTTTGCTGACATCTATTAGTGACAAGCTCACATGTGTATGCAAACAACAAGGTCAAAGCAAAGCAAAGCAAAGCAAAGAGAAGGCAAAACAAACCACAAACACCTACGACAACTCTTTTTTTCACGAAGAGCTGCCATGGGTGGGATTCGAACCCACAACACAAGGCAAACCTCAAACCTCTGTGCACTCATGGAACAATGTTTCTGATTTCACTTGAAATGTACATAAGACAACATATATTAAAGTCCATTCGCGTTCACCTTACAGTTAGAAAATCTATCATGACTCCGCTACACTACAGCAAAACAGAATAATAAAAGTGCAATGCACTTGTGAGTGTGCATAGGTTCCGTACATGCAGCAAACACACCCGCCTGTCGCTAATGAATTTACCTTTTGGAGCGAGTGCTACAAGAGTCTGCACCATCAACACCGCATTTAATTAAATATGTGATTTATGGTGACCGGAACACGCATGCAAGACACAGTACACAACACTGTCGTGAAGTAAAACTCAATAATCCTTTCTCTTAATCAGCACAGGTATTGCTCGGTGAAAGTCCTGTTTACACACAGGTTGGAAGAGCCCTGGTAGGCGACTACTACCATTCAAACCTACGTCTTTCCAGCGTTAAGGATTAACTAGCTTACATTACCCATATATTGTGAATACAGATGTATAGAGGTCCACACATAAAAAAATATATTTTCAAACAGAAACATATTATTGTGTAAGTGCTTAATGAACTTCTTACCGGCTGGCAACATCTGTTGCAACAAGAACATTCACTTGTCCAGATTTAAACTTTGAAAGAGATGAAAGCCTCTGTGCCTAAAAAAGGTAGTTGGTGAATGATACAAGCAACTAAAAGTGGAAAAAAATTTTTTAAATAGGGATAGCATAAAAACGAAGAAACAAAAGATGGGAATGGGATACATAGACAAGCATGTCAGCACGCTGACACCCCCGACCCCACAACACATTGCTGCAAGGTGTGCAACTCTTAATCTCTATAACAGTGGTTGTTACTCAGTAGAGGTTTACACTCGGTTAGTAATACAACATTCACATGATAAATCATCACCTAAGAACCAATATCGAGATGGTGTGATGGGGTCGGGGATGCCAACTGTAGAAAAACCATCATGCATCCCGTTCCTATCTTGTCTCTATCTTGACTCTTCAATACTATCTTAACGTCAGCAATAGTACATAGTTGGTAGTCAGGGACTGTCATAGACTGTCATTGAGATATACAAAACACAATGTTTCGGCCTTCGTCAGGTGTGTGTGAGAGGGAGTGTGCAAACAGGAAGTTTTATACCATGGATTTACATGGCAACTAGTCTGATGTCTGACTTGTGAAGATATAGTCCTGTTAGCAGTTTGTCGGTTACTAAGGTAGAGATGGTTTACACAATATCAATGGCATCACTGGAGTTCTCCGACTGTTAGATGTCTAAATTCATTTACAAACATCTACCTGAGGTACCTATATACCTCATTTCAACCAAAACGTTTTTAAAATATTTTTATGATAACTACATTTGGTAGTTTTTTCCCCTAACCAGCGGATAGGTATCGCATAGGTATGTCTGTTATGCTGTCGGCGCGATACCCTCCTACGCGAGGGACGTCACAAACAGACTTGGGGGAAGGGCGCATCTATTGCAAACGAGGATTTGCAGACTGTAGCCAGAGGACGTACGTACTGGTCAGGCATCAATCCCTGACCTGTCATTCTGCCGTCCAATCGGGGTAGAGTAAAAGAGTGTGGAGACTTTCAGCCTTCTTTGTCGAGCAGCAACTCCTGCAGCTGCCATTGCAGGAGGGTTGGGACAGGGTCCCGAGATACGGCCTTGAAAGGGAAAGCGGACAGGCGGTTACGGGACCAGTTGTTGGAGAGCATATTTGTCCCTGCCGGGGAGGTATACAACTGTACCTTGCTAACAGTTACCGTATAAAATGAAGAGCACTACAGAGCAAACCCTCGGTGAACTGCGCATGCGTGGTACCGCTAATTGATGGGATGGGCCTATTAGTATGTGTTTACTCGTGGTCTCCTGGTAGTAGCTCGCGGAGTCTGACACGGGCTAGCTACAGTAGTAGATAGAGTGCGGGAGTCGATACACGCCCTTCGTTGTGGCTTTTTGTGCCTCCGAGGTACACAGATCAAGCGGATCAGGTCGAGGTAAGCCAGTGCTAATTAGCATATTGGATTGTTCACTTGGTTTTCAAGCCGTAACTTTAGAACGCAATACTTCTACGGAAATCGCAATTTTTTAAATCACGCCAGTGTAGTGATGAACCCATTGGTATAGCTATTTTGTTGTATTGTTGCGCGTGGTGGCAGAAAACGTGGTAACAGACAGACAGACATACGGACTGACAGAAGGACGGAATGAACAAACCAAGTACTGTAACACTCGCTGCGCATGTAAAAGGCACAAGTAACAACAAACAATCTCAGGAAATATAACATGTAAATGGTGTTTGTGCCTATGACTTACTTGAGGTCGGTCCTGTAACAATGAAACTTGTTACACTTATGTACCATCAAAACAGAAATAATGAATAGCTGAGGTACATACTTCAAACTGACATTGCCTATATTGTAACAGCAAGCTTTACTCACTGACATAAGTTTGTTTAGTGAATAGTGTAAAGTGCGAGGACAATTGTGAAGGAGGGTCAAGAACGCAGCATTCTAAAACTGGTTAGTTGGTGTGTGGAGGAAATTTTACACGAGCAAGCGATGTCAGTTTGAAGTATGTACCTATCATCCACTCAGCTACTGCATCATATTCACTAGGTCATCCCTGTCTTGTCTCCTTGCTTTTTATATCATCCATATTACACTTTTTAATTCGAACATTTTTTATTTACTTGTTCTTACTTGCGTGAGCAATGAGTGAAGAGACACACAGTGTATATCGTGCCTTTGCAGCAACTCTGAGTATACATGGCAAGACCTGTAAACAGACAAAAAGACTGAACAACATGCTTGCACCCATACTACACTAAGCCCCAATCACAATGCCATCATCAATGGCACCTTAGCCTCTACGTACAACACACCCAATGAATATCGGAACCCTAGCAGCAGTTTATATAGCTGTGATGGGCATCACACAGCCTTACTCCAGCTTCTAGTTAACCACGTCAGTGGCGGATCTAGGATTTTGAAAGGGGGGGTTCCGCTGTCCAAGAACGTTTTCACTGTGCTTGCGCAAGAGGCCGGCGACGCATGTGCGCAAAACGATAAAGGGGGGTTCCGCGGAACCTAAGGAACCCCACTGGATCCGCCACTGCGACGTCTTTGTGGTACAGCAGTGCCCGCACCATAGAGACCTGGGGAAGTTATAGACAATTGGCAATATGACACTGGCAATTCTCTAATGGACAAACAGAGCAAGACACTATTCCTTATGGCTCATGTCATCCTTTAAATGCTGCATATGTGTAGCTAGGTGATGCAAGGTGCAGCACCGTAGAGAAAGTGACCCATAAATGAATACACCAGTGAGGGCATCTGATTATTCAGAAAAAGACATGTTACCTGACCCACGAGAGAAATTGAGCATTGCGTTTACATGTATTTTATCTTATACTCATAAGCAGAGCAAAAAAGCCGATCAAATGGTATCCTGCATGTAATTTTCAACACACACAGCACACAGATATGAACAGAAATCTATCAATATTCTGTATGGTATTAGTAAGGTCCATGCTAATCATACGTAGCACAGGAAACTTTGCACAGCAGTACCTATTAGAAAGTTATCGATAGGAAAGTCCCCCTAGGCGATCAGATCGTCCAAGAATTACATGGCCAACGAGTGGACCTGAGCGTTTTTTCCTACTCTTTTCCATTTGTGGTAGTCATTTAACATGGGCATCACTATCTTGGATGAAAATAAGCACCAATGCTTAGTAATTAGGTAAAAAATTTAAGGAACATCAAAGTTACACATCAGTATTCCGTATGCTAGTAGTAGGTTTCATGATATTCAGTTTTGAAATTGGCAGACCCTGCGTTGGGAAAACAAACATTTTATTTCTTTTTTACACGAATATCCAAGAGACATAAAAGCAATACCCTGTAGAGGACACTGGGAGCACTACTATGAGCAGTGGTTTTCGACATTGTAGCACAAAACGGTAGACAGGGAGTGAATATTATTAGTTTCCAAGAGGTTTTGCCAAGGCACTGCATGAAAGATAAATTAAACCTTGGCGCGTGCCCATAGCAAGGGTTACAGTACTTGGTCCATGTGCTTATTTGTCCGCACTACAGGCTAAGAGGTGGACAGTGATCAATACAGACTGCTTTGTAACGAGGGCTTATGGCGTTAAACACAAGTGTAAAAGCCAATATGCAAATTAGCAAAAGCTTACCTCGACTAGAAATTGACTATTAAACAAAAAATGGGGGCACAAACTAACTGTATCTAGTCCAGCGTCGCCCGAGTTGCTAGTTAGTATTGCTAGCCTGAATTAGAGAGGGAAACCGACACCATCGAGACCACGTATCATGCCTTATTAGCTTGCACATGCGTAGTGAGTTGTGACAATGCGAGCATGTACGTAGCTTGTGCCAACATTTTGCATTTTAGTGCTTACTTAAGTTAAGGGGGCTACTGAATTTTTACACTCTCACATAAACTACACTTACTTACCCTCCTCATGACAGGGTCATGTTACTTACTCTCCTAATGACAGGGTCATAATCTTACTTACCCTCCTAACGACAGGGTCGTACGTTACTTCAAGACACATGTACTTAGCATATCTACATAAGGCAAAGTCTATTATACACTTTAGCAAATACACCTTAGCCTTGCCCAAAGCTGTTGTTTCCCTGGCCTGGATGATCAACCAAGCCAACTCAACAGGCAGGGGTTCAAATCTAAAACACAAGATAAAAGACCATCATGCTCTGGCACAGTAAACTGTCAGGAGCAGACAAAGCAAGCAACAACCCAAGGCAACCTTAATACAGCTGTTTCTGAAACCGTTCGAGTATCTACTGTTGCTTTCCTACATTGTTATTTACTGTCTTTGTAAATGAGAATCTGACTAATTGTAGACCTGTTTCGAACAATTTATAAGCTACAATTGAAGGGGGGTAGTGGTAAAAGTGCAAATTTAAATTGCGCACAATGTACGGGGTTAATTTGCCATATTGTGAACTGAGAAATATTCCTGCTTGCACCGTTCCATTTCTTTCAATTGTGCACGCACACACATATTCATGTGTGTCTCCTGCTTACCGTGTCTCATGCTTACTGTGCACTTTTACCGCTCGTGAAATGTATGGGGCCCGAAGTCATCAATACCTTACGATTATAAAACCTTAAATTTGGTACTTAGAACCAACCAAGTTTATTCTTATTGTCTAACAGAACAAAAACGAAACATTACTCATCTCCTATATGCTGCACATCACCGTTAAAAATGTTCACCTGCATGTGTGTGTAAACACAATCATTGACTGGGGTCCAGTTCTTAGAAGAGTTTGCAGCACCACAATAAAATAGCAACTCTTTACCTAAAGGATTTAACAATGCATCGATTTCTTCTTCCTTTTGAATAATTAGGTTGCATTAGACAATGGGGAAAATTACTCAATTCAGCCGTGATGGCATGGAAACAGCAAGTGGAAAAAAGGTTACACAAGGGTATATATGGATGAAACATGTTATCCTGCATACATTTGAGATTTTCACATTTAATTTTCAGTTTCAATCAGATCCCACTTCTGAAACATCAGTCTCATCCGTATGGTCAAAAAAAGCATGTACCAAAAATGGCTTATAATCATATCGGTACTAGATTTATACAAGAAAGTCAGTTTTCAATCATCTCCTTGATGTTCAGTTTCAACAAGCTTATCTCAATAACCAGTTAACATAATATGGAGATGAAACTTTGCACAAAGGTTGGAATCCATGACAGGTCGTGCAATTTGTTTTGTAAACAATGTTTTACAGGTGGTTAATGCCCTCGGACCTCAGTTTTACAATACTGCGTCATTGGCCCTCTACAGAATCATGTCCTTCCACTATACTAAAGACACCCGTGTTTAAGTGGCGACAATATAGGCAAATTATGTTTAGTTTCATGTTTGAGCTACAATACGACTTTAAATTACAGCTATTTATGCTGAAAAGCACCAAATCCAGGTCACTTAAACTAGTCCAGCATTTTAAAGTGTTCCCTGCGTATAATGCAACGGAAACGGGCTCGTCCGGTCTTCATACTATCCATGTTTTTCCTGCAGGTTCAGTCTGCTAAGCAGTCGTTATCTAAGTGGCAAGCTAGGCTAAGCTACCATCCCTATGTGCCTTAATTAACCTACGTATACATCCGTGAAAGGAGGCTAGCCAACCATAAAAAACACTTGGCCCTATTGTTTAGTTGTTTAAATTTAGCAGTTATGTATATACTTACTGTCTTATTCCCTTTAATAAATTCTGGTGGTTGTTTACAAACGCTTATGTAGTCGTCATGGAAATGATGTCATACACAAGTGTACTAAGTTTCATCCCCATGTTCATACGTACACTGCGGTTGTATTTGCAATGCAAATGACTTTTTGCAAACCTTCTAAACGCTTTACATACGTAGCTCCGCATATATATATCCTTGATTTATTAATTTTTGGGTGAGTTTGTAATGTCGCTCACAAAATTGCTCGTAACCACTGCATATTCTACCTATACGTACGAGTTGGGAAGCGTATACACCATAAGCTGGCTTAGATGGGATGTTAGAACTCATATTTGAAAAATTTACGATGTCAAAGTGAAAACTATCCCTCTTATCATACAACGTAGTAGAATATTTCCCATGTTCTATAGTAATAAGTATATCTAAGTAGGAAAGTGTAGTTGGGCTCTCCGTAGTTTTCTTGAGTTGAAGCTCAGAAGGATATGTCCTGTATGGCGTCATTAAATTGGATGTTATTTAGTATAAGAAGGTCATCTATGTATATACCTCATTGTATTGTTAAACCTCCTAGCCAGGAATATTATCGTTCTTTATCAAGTTTTCATGTACCTGTCAAAAAAGAACAGGAACAGATTGGCCAATAATGGAGCACAATCAGTGCCCATAGGGATACCCACACACTGCCTATATATAGACCTTGTTACCTACATTAAAATACACGTTATCTATGAGGTATTCCACATATGTAATGAGCTTATCTTCGGTCAGGCTCTGTCTAGCAGATGGCACATCTGACCACACCCCCTTGCCATTGCTACGTACTACAAGAAAGACGTTGTCTCTAACTCTATAAGCTTCCTGAATCAAATATTTCAAGGCTTGTTTTCAGGGAGTCATGCGGAATACTAGTATAAATGTAGAAAAATCGTAACTATCACAATGTTTCGCTGAAGAAAAATATTAATCTTTTTTTTTAATGTACTAAGCACCTGCTGTGAGTTTTCTATCACCCAGAAGCAATTCACACCTGTTCTACAGTAAATCCCATTGCAATACTGCCTGAAGTGGTTAATGATTGTATTTAGGCAACTTGTAAGTCTTGAAAGAGGCTCAGTAGTACACCCGTTTTGTACACACACACACTTGTCAGACATACGTAAGCTTCACGTTGACTACTGCATAATTTACTATGTACACTACGCGGGGCGGCACTAATAGGAACCACGATAGTGCACCACGTTTTTACTGCGTAAGTAAGCAAGGTGTTACCACGTTTTTACCGCTACAAGCAAGTCATTCTATATTAATTTTCTACCATGTTTTTAAGTGAGTCATTTTACCTTGTTTTTACCACTCCAGCAAGTAAGCTAGATTATATTTTCTACAATGCTACCAATTTCATTTTTCTACCATCTATGTTTGTGTATATATATATATATATATATTATGTATCATACTCTACATGTGTTGTCGTGACTGTGCTATCGTACAGTTACTCACTGAGTGGCTGTCATTGTTTGTGATGTGGAGTTTGGATGCTGGGTGTGTGGGAAGAGTTGGCTAGCCATAAAGGACTCTTTAACCCACCGCCCCGGTTCTCAAGGCAGGGCACCCAGTGTCCTGCTCTCATGTCACGTCATGTGTATTTGGGGATTTGTGGATATATGTTGGTGGTGGTTTTTATTTATTTATTTCTCTATCTATCTATCTATCTATATACCTATGGCTGGTATGCTATGAACTATAATTTCATGCATCATTTCAACTTTCAGACCTGTGCTTGGTGGTTTCATTATTTCAACACGATGTTCCAGTTGAAATTTCGAATTAATCCTTTTTTATGATTTAGCTATGCCTAGCTTTCTTTTATAGGTCATACCCAAGTGAGTAACATCGTCACTTCTAGGACGGAACTAGTACATATGGGAAAGCAGTAGTGCTAGTGTCGTACCCTAGCCGCGGTCCTATGTGTGCTCCATCTCTGGTTCTGTTAGCTCTTTCTTATTTTCCCTTTCTCGTCTTTATGTCAGATTTAGCATGTCAGTCTTCGGTAGGGGGCAGCCACCAGCCCGGCATACCAAGGTGGTGGACACTAACCTGTGTCCTTTAAAGTCAGGTCCTACCCGTCTGTCTGTCCCGGTTTGTGCAAATGATGCTACATCCTCAAAGCCTACTACTCTGGGAAGGGCTGTGGCTGATGTCCCACTAATAATTGTGTTGTTTGTGATTGTGGTTCTGTTCGATGTAAAACTTGTAAACATATATATCAGGGCAGAACATTTGTGACCAAAAAACGATATGATGTGGTTAGTTCTGCTTCCTCCATGAATTGTGCTACTGAGAATGTGGTGTATTTGATATCATGCACGAGATGTGGCGTACAGTATGTTGGAGAGACTAGCCAGAAATTACGTAGCCGTTTCAATAATCATAGAAACAGACTGAAGAGCATGGCCAACTTATACTTATATAATCATTTTAGTTCGGATGGACACACTGAGGATGATATATGTATTATGCCAATTGAGAATATTGTTGACACTGGAAATAAAGTTAGTTCAACCTCTAAGAGGCTTGAAAGAGAAGATTATTGGTGCAGGGAACTATGTACGTTCTATCCGTATGGACTGAATGATAATGTGAGGGGGGTTGGTAACATATCTAAAATGAAAGGTCAAGGTCAACTGGTGGTTAATACGCTTTTTCACAGAAACAAAAGAAAATTTAGAGCGCGCAAATATCGCAAACGTAGGAAGAAACGTGACCTGGGTGATTTGACTGATAGCATTGAGCATTACTTACAAAATTATAAAACTTGTAATTTCTGTTTTAATGTAAGAAGCTTCATTCTCAGTCTACCTATGGAATGTATGTGTATGGTGTGGAATATTTTTCATAATTGGGTGAGTAATCATGAAGTACCCAGTAGGATCAGGGCGTTGTTCAAGGACTTGATAGCCTTCCGGAAAAAAGCTTCAGGTGGTATGGTGTTTGATGTAGATAGGAAAAGTAAAGAACACTCTGGTTTTATGAAAGTACATTACCATACTAAAGGCATTGAAATGATTGGCTTGCCTCAAATACTGAACAGCAAGTATGTTAGAGGTGCGATGCCCCAATTTTTGAAAAACAGGGAGCCTCCTATGGTTAGCTACTCATACACTAGGACCATATCTGGCGCAATATTAATCAGAGGAGTGCAGTAGAGGAGCTTGACTTAGACGAAGGTATACTGAGAATGTATGTTGTGATTGTAGTAGTTATGAGCCTGCAGGACATGTTGTAACTGGAGATTTAACAATAATAGGAGACACAAAGCTTAGATCACTAGTTATGAAAGGGCCATCATATAGAGAGCAGAATTGCATAGATTGGACTACAAATGAGAGGCTATGTAGGGAAGCTGTAGCGGAATATAAACGTAAGTGGTCGACTAGAGAAGGTGTTGATATCCGGGCATTTAATGAGTGGGAGCATAAGCTTAATGAATGTATTCAACGGAAAATTGCGTCACTTAAAAGTAAACATATCAACAAAAGAAAAAAGCATGTCCTTAAATCAAAGAAGCACTTGCGGTCCTAAATGTGTTAGTTCCGGCTGACAAGGCCGCCAATAATGTCATTGTAGTGTGTAAGAAGTATTACTTGGAGGTGGTGACAAGAGAGATCACGGCTACTACCACATATGAGCCTGTTACCAGGGATAAAGATGATATAATTAAGGAACACCTACGCTTTATGAGAAACAATCACATTGTAGTGAAGCCTGAGCTTGAATGCTTGCCATCGTTTTACTGGTTACCGAAATTACATAAGCAGCCTTACGGTAACAGGTTTATAGCTGCGTCTTATAGGTGTACTACTAAGCCTCTTTCAAGACTGCTTACAAGTTGCCTAAATACAATCATTAACCACTTCAGGCAGTATTGCAATGGGATTTACTGAACAGGTGTGAATTGCTTCTGGGTGATAGAAAACTCACAGCAGGTGCTTAGTACATTAAAAAAGATTAATTATTTTTCTTCAGCGAAACATTGTGATAGTTACGATTTTTCTACATTATATACTAGTATTCCGCATGACTCCCTGAAACAAGCCTTGAAATATTTGTTCAGGAAGCTTATAGAGTTAGAGACAACGTCTTTCTTGTAGTACGTAGCAATGGCAAGGGGGTGTGGTCAGATGTGCCATCTGCTAGACAGAGCCTGACCGAAGATAAGCTCATTACATATGTGGAATACCTCATAGATAACGTGTATGTTAATGTAGGTAACAAGGTCTATAGGCAGTGTGTGGGCATCCCTATGGGCACTGATTGTGCTCCATTATTGCCCAATCTGTTCCTGTTCTTTTACGAGTACAGGTACATGAAAAACTTGATAAAGAACGATATATTCATGGCTAACAATACAATGAGGTACATATAGATGACCTTCTTATACTAAATAACTTCCAATTTAATGCTTGAGCTTCGAATTCAGCTCAAGAAAATTACGGAGAGCCCAACTACACTTTCCCACATAGATTATACTTATTACTATAGAACATGGGAAATATTCTACTACGTTGTATGATAAGAGGGATAGTTTTCACTTTGACATTGTAAATTTTCCAAATATGAGTTCTAACATTCCATCTAAGCCAGCTGTTTCCCAACTTGTACGTATAGGTAGAATATGCAGTGGTTACGAGCAATTTTGTGAGCGATAAACTCACAAGCGTTTAGCATTTGCATTACTGCAGTGTATGTAGACATATCGAGGATGGTGTATGTTTGCCAGCCAGTGATGGATTCCTGGGCCACCATGTCTCAACATGTAGAACATCCTGTGGGATTGATAGCTAGATGTTTTGTACACACACACTTGTCAGACATAAGCTTCACGGTGCCCACTGCATAATTTACTATGTACACTAGGTGGGGCGGCACTAATAGGAACCACGATAGTGCACCACGTTTTTACTGCGTAAGTAAGCAAGGTGTTACCACGTTTTTACCGCTACAAGCAAGTCATTCTATATTAATTTTCTACCATGTTTTTAAGTGAGTCATTTTACCTTGTTTTTACCACTCCAGCAAGTAAGCTAGATTCTATTTTTATATTTTTCTACAATGCTACCAATTACATTTTTCTACCGTCTATGTTTGTGTATATATTTGTATCATACTCTACATGTGTTGTTGTGACTGTGCTACCGTACAGTTAACTCACTGTGTGGCTGTCATTGTTTGTGATGTAGAGTTTGGATGCTGGGTGTGTGGGGAGAGTTGGCTAGTCATAAAAGACTCTTTAACCCACCGCCTCGGTTCTCAAGGCTGGGCACCCAGTGTCCTGCTCTCATGTCATGTCATGTGTATTTGTGTATGTGTTTTGTATGGATATTTTGGGTTTTGTGGATATAATGTTGGTGGTGGTTTTATTTCTCTATCTATCTATCTATCTATCTATACCTATGGCTGGTATGCCATGAACTATAATTTCATGCGTACCAAGTTTCACCTCCATGCATGCTACCATTAGCAATTTCGACAAGTGAAAAAATAGTTGTAGAGAAAAGTGCCTGATGGTACTTGTTGGTGGTTTTCTGATGCAGGTTATTGATGTTTCACTCACGTAGCTCTTACAATTTATAAGTTACACTAAAACATGAGTGCGCTATTGCCTGGGGATACTTGTTGTTAGCAGATGCTCATCACCGAGTGCTCTAAATGTTATTATCTCTCAGCTCTCTTAGATACAAAAATGACCGGCTTTATGTATGAGTAGGTACACATGCGTCTAGAATGTTCTGTTCTAGAATATTCCACGGTGATCAGCAACCTGATAACTATATTTCTCGACACTTGTTGTTTGCACTAAACAACATTTATGACAATTCACATCCTGTTACAGATATCTACAGTTACAGTTTACAAAATATTATGACTATAATGTTAATTTGTTTTTGAGTTTGTTTAATCTGAAGAAGTTGAAGAAGATGATGATGAACAAAACTCTCATACATCTACGAAGCGCATCCCTGCATACGAAGTACGAGTGATGAATTCCTTACCATGCCTTCGTGTAAAGTATATTAGGCAGAGTGCCGAAGCACAAAATTGTAAGGAATCGCAGTGAAGAAGCTCACTGCATTTAAACAATCATCAAAGTAGGCTCATGGCATGAGCTTCTACAAATTATAAATTGACAAAATACTAAAAGCGACAAACTAAAAACGCAACTATATCCTTATTGTTGAGTGCAGGCGACTAATCCAGGTCTAATACATACGAACATACAAAAGTGTCCGTCACACTTAGGAACGTCAATAAGTCACTAATAGGAAGTGTAGCTTCAATCACGCGAGAAGCGTGACTTCCATTTCTCATGAAATACGCGGGCCCCTTGGGCATGTATACAGTGTGTCTCTCAAGTTCGACGTCTCTCACAAGCTTTTATCAGCTAGGCATTGCGAGACTCAACATTCACTTTCTGCTGTAACATCTGATCCCTACACAGGCAGACAGACACACACGCGCGTGCACAAACTACCATAAGCCTCACTGTGCATGGGTTAAAATGGCAGACTTGCAGGGGTAAAAAAATTCCACCTTGTCATGTAAGCCATTGTAAGGAATAAGGCTTTAAAGGGAATGTGTCAGTACATATGGGCTAAAGATAGAAATAAACAATAGGGTCCAGTGCAAAAATTTCCATTTTCAGTAAGTTTCTAAAATTAGCCCTTACATACTGCAACATTCTCTTTAAAAGGCATCACACTCAATAAGCTAGTGTCCCCTTGTTACGTGTGTCATAATGAGAGATGTGAGATTAAGCAGACCGGACAAACAGAAAGACGGAGACAAACTTAGGAATCATGTCTCTTGTGCATGTGCACCAAAGGTTAACAATGTCTCAATTACATACAGTAGTTTCAAAGCAATAAAAATATGGTCACAACAATTCCGGAATTGGCCATGCAAACTTTTAACTTACCTGTGCAGGAGTGAGTACATACGCTTGAAACAATCCCTCTATTGGGCTGCAGTTAGAAATAAATAAAACTACGATCAAGAGCAGTGCATTTGTTGCATGTCTTTTATTCTTAGACACTGCAAATAAAAGTGAAATGTTCATGCCTTGCACAGATATCAAGGTTCCTTGATATTGTACCAACACTTCACCAGGTTTTACAAGAATGGTGTTCCTTTAACGACACCCTGCTAATAATGCCCAGACACGATCTCTGGACAACTTGTGTTTTGAAGTTTTGAAAAGACATGCAATGCCCAGACATCATTAATGGTGCATGAGGGTGTAATGTTACAATAATGCGAAATTTTGAGGTAGAATGGAAAAAGAAGTAGATCTAACAAGAATATAATGGGTAAATGCAATAAGTAGTCTGTACATGCAGTTGGTTCATGCTTTACAAAATGTTCTTCACACTCTTTCCAGTCAAAATAGTCTAGTTTAGGTTCTTCTGGAATGTCATGGAATGTTGGACCTGCGGTGATGAGGGTTACATCTTGCCATTTTCCCTCAACAACAACTTCATGGCGCACACAGGATTCTATTAAGAGAGTTACATACTGACACATACTAACTGGTCAAGGGTACTTTCTTTGATGCTAGTGTTTGGTTGGTTTTGAGTTGTGAGAACAGCCATTGTAAGTGACCATTTGCTACTGGTATGCAAAAGAGAAGCTACACTTTGGCCAGCACATTAACCCTTTCATGGGCATCAACTCAGTTGAAAGCTTCCACCACAATATTTTGTAGTTATATCGTACTAGATCAATGTATTGCCAGCCACACTTTATCACTATCCTTGACATGGAGATACTAAAAGACGAGTGCATGTGTAAACAATGAGTTAAAAAGGCAAACACTTATTGTTGAAGCAACACACAAGACCAACTCAAATTAGGTCTATGTGCACAACAATCTGCACAATGGTCTTCGCATTAGATCTGATTGCACGAAGCAGCTTCAGTCCATGCAGAAAATATGCTAGAGAAAACCCAGACCATTTAACAGCTATACATGGAGCTCCCACTGTCTGCAAATGACTAAGCATCCCGGTTGCTTTAGGCAAATGCCATCAACCTTCTTTGACATTTTTCAACTTGCAATTGGCCCACTGAAAAGCTCAAGAGGTGACCAGCAGGACATAGGCAGTAAAAAAGGCACTGTCACACCTGGAAACCTTCGGAAAGTGATGTTCCGGGCCTAATCAGGTATTGTTCTATTCCTGTGAACATAGAGCTTAGCGGGCTAGAACCTTAATTGCATCGGCATCCATAGCAGTCAAGTAGCTGGTCCAAGTGGCGTTGTGAGACAGCCAGTGTTGTGTAGGAGAGACAATCAGGCAGGGGTGCCTGTATTTTCAGGAAGGAACCAAGCGCATGATGCAGGTTTTGTGTGGTATGCTTAGCCCAGGTTTCACCGCAACCCAAAGGCTCCTCACATACGTACCTAGGGTGGAATGATTTGCCAGATAACCTGTAACACAATCATCGTTGATCTGTCTTTCAACACAGAGCCTATCCAGCAAACACCATGTTACCTAACCAGGTCTGTTAGGATCAGGCCCTCGGCAAACACAACTGGAATTTTGTAGCTTCAGGGCTGGCCAGCAGGCCAGACTCCTGAAAGAGGATTGAAGAATTATGTCTGTCCAGCTGGCCAGACGCCAGAAAGAAGTCCCTCTCTCCAGGGCTACCATGTCTCAGCTAAACTAGATAGATAAGGACCCCTTGTATGGGTGCATAGCCATCCGACAATCCATCTACTCAAAATAATTGCATGAAGTGTCTTTAGTGGACCATAGAGACCGAAGGCATCTCCAACAGCCTAAAACCATAACAGACACCACAGCAACTTTCTCCCACATCACTTCCAAATCTACCAGGATAAGTTACCAGTGAACTCCACAAATGGAAGTAAGCGACACACCTGCTTAGAAATCGCAAGGCTGAATCATCTGAGGTCGTCACTCATCTCAAGAGTATATACCTTGCCTGTAACAGCATTGCTGAGGTCGTTTTTTCAGACAATTGCCACAGTGTGCCTCTCAATATTTCCAGGAATTCGCAAAGGAGTACAAATTCAAACATCTGACAAGCACTCCGTAAGGGACTGGTGAGGCTGAGAGAGCCATAGGACGATCAAGAGCCTAATGAAGAAGAGTGATGACCCACAAAGAGTGTTTATGGCTAACAGATGCATTCCAACTACTCAATGGACAAATCTGAGATCTACAACTAGATCACAGATCACAGAGAGAAATTCAGGTTCTTTCCGTTAGATGTCAACACAAATGAGAAAGGCCAGGCAGAAACGAAACTCAAACACACGTCACAAAGCTATAGAGCTTCTTCCACTTCATTATGGAGACAAGTGCTGGGTTTACAATGACCTAATAAGGGAGAGGAACCGAAAAAGATGGCAGCTCACCTTTGTGTTGTTCAGTCTGATGAGGACTCAATCATCATGATCAACATGATAATAATAATACTCAGGAGGCTGCCATAGCACTAGGGCCATAGACCACGCACCCAGAGCAATGGGCGGAACCGTTACCAAACGAACATACACCATATGAACATGAGGTGTCTGTCTCACCTCTCACACACCTCAACTCACCCCTTCCACCAGCGACACCCTGCAGCTCCCCAGACGCAATCTGAGACTGGGTCTCTTGTACGCTGGGATTATCGCCGTGTAACCTAAGCTTTCTTAGCTCCCAAACATCCAAAATAAAATAAAACAAGGCCAAGCAAAGAACCAAATTTATCCTCCCACAGTTCACTACCCAATATAAAGGATGCTTTCCTGAAACTATCAAGCGACTGGAAATGCTCAAAGCCATCATCCCCAAGATTCCCCTGCAGGGCAACTAAGAAATTGCTGCTATGCCTACCCAGTTCCTCATTTAGCCTATGCGTGCCTGACTTGAACTTAAACATTAATCTAGACCCAGCATCACTTTTCCCATGCAAGTACTTTTTGAACTCTACCACCTTGTTAAATGTCTTTTACAATAACAGCTTTACTTTGCTATTTAGAGCCTTTTCAAACTTTCTAATCTCCCTCTCATTAATACTGTCCCCTATTATAGACAGAAAGCCCTTCAAGGAGAAATCCCCATTTTGAATATCATGCAACCACTCTGCCTTGTCAAGACCTAATGACGAAAAGAGATCATCAATGACCTTACTCCAACCCTTCCTCTGCCTGCCTCTCCGTGGCTTAAAATTCCATTCCTGATTAAAAAGCTTCTTCGGATACCTATTGCCTGGCAATGCCGCTAACTTATACCACCACTTCAACTTATTCTTATCCCTACGTCCTTGTAATGTATCAAGCCCCATATCCCCCCTAACGGCTTCATTACATGTCTTAGACGAACACCCAAGAATGCGCTTAGCTCCTCCCAGGATAACGGACTCTAACGCAGCTGCCTGAGTCTTATTGGCTTCCCACACCTCACCCCCATACTCTAAAGTTGGCCTAACCACTGCCAGCAACAACAACCTGCGAGCACTCAAATTAATATCCCTAATACTAATTACACTATGCAACTGATTAACCTTCCTTCTACCATTGTCGTGGTCAACATGATTTGATTTGAATGAAGACCAGACGAGTGAAGCCAAACCTTGTAGCCAAGAGAAACAACTACCACACTACAATGACAGCAGCAATAGAAGAAAAGACAGTAAAGTAAGGAAAGACAAGAAAAAAATATATATAGACAACACAAAAACAGGGGAAAAAACACAAGAACGTACATGTAATATCAGACACTGTTAATGAATGAGGAGATTGGAGGGAAACGGTGCAGCCACAGGGCAACATTCCTTCAGGGACACGGAGCACCTCTGGAACAGTTAACAAGAGGCGATGGAGGGGGGTGCCTAGTCTCTGGCCGAGAAGGCGACCAATACGGCTGATGGTCTTGGCTAGCCAGATAACTCCAACCCCCAAGCGACTCAACTGCAAGGGGGATGAAAGATACCCCACTTCTCTGCAAGAGGCAGCAGTAGCCATCTTCTGCTCCTCACAGATAGACAGGGCATACCCTGAGTTTCCGCGGCACCTTGCACAGTCTGTTGTTGGAGGTGATAAATAACGGAGATGTCAAGAGCTGTAGGAAGACCCCCATCCTAATGTGCACAATGTGGAAGAAAAATATCAGCTGGCCGATTATGGCAACCCACAATCAGAGAAGGAAACTCTTTCCGTGGTGCTAACGCAGCAGACTGGGCTGGGAAGAAGATTGAATCACGGATCGAGTCATGGCAACAATTCGAAGAACACGTTATAATTCAAGTTATTTTGGCAGGAGCGGTCACCAATGACAACCTCAAAGGTTTGATCTAAGTTCGATACCACTAATTTCACCAGTCACGGAGAACATAAGTTACACCAAACATTTCGGCTGAAGAGCTACAGCCTTCCTCGGTGGTCAGATAACAAAAGAGTGAGGACAGAAGGATGGTGAGTTCTTATACCATTGACCCTATAAAAAGGCAACAAAAAGCCCTGTTCTCTGTTGATGGTGTCGCTTTTCTGTATAAACCATGACTCTTGAAAAAGATGGTGCGATAGTCTTGACTCTTGAGCTAATATGGTCATGGACTCAAAGTCAACCTGATATTGTAGCGACCATACATGCTCAGCCAGGGATGAGAACTCTGTCCCAGTCAACCTGACATCCCTCTTGTGCTCATAAATGTGAGTCTTGACCAGTCTGCCTAATGTAAACCTTGGGGCAGGATGAACAGTCGAGTTGTCAGTCCAAAAGAATTTGCCGAGTTTATCTGGGGCATGACGTTGGAGCCTGGGAATGTCCTTGTCTCGTTTCCTTCTTCACCAAGGTTACTGTTGACCTTGCTCTGAAAATTGCCAGACAGTGACTGGAATAATTGGATGAACCGCACCACTCCATCTACCGACAGTATCGTATTCCTCCTATCTGTCTGGGGCTACCTATTTTTCGTATCAAGGATCGGTCTACCAACAGGTTTTTGGCACGGCCATGGGTTCTCCTATTTCGGTTCAAAACATTGAAATATACTGCATTAGAAACCTTTCCACACTGTGTTCAATTCTGGAGACGCCATATTGACAATGGCTGTTGTTCTGTACATTCCACCCTTGTGTGCCCTCTGTTGTTGCATCTCAACGGCATTGAGCCCTCCATCCAGTTCACCCGTGAATTGGAGGAGGATGGCTGTTTGCCCTTTCTGGATCTTCTGCTGTCTAAACCTTTCCATCCAGACTAGCGTCCATCAGAGGAAGAAACACACTGACCGTTACCTTAACTTTCGATTCTATCACCCCCTCTCTCATAAGTCTGCTGTTGCCCGTACCCAATTGGGGAGAGTTGTTTCACATTCCTCCAGCCGCTGTTCAGTCCAGTCTGAAATTTCTAAGCTTAAACTAATCAACTACCAAATACGTTTTCTGGAGCGTATAGTCCTACCTTCCACTTCCTCACCTTTATTACAGAGGCAGCCCGAGTTTTTGTCTACCATGGTGCTACCCTATCTGGGTGGCTCTCCGATGCCATGAGAAGAATTTGCTCCAGAGCCAACATAAGGGTTGCGTTTAAACCGATGTTTACCTGCCGGCAACAGCTGGTAAAAGTCAAAGACAGAAGAAAACTCTTAATGACATGGGGGTTGTTTACTGTACAGCTTGTTCATCCTGCCCCAAGGTCTACATTGGGCAGACTGGTCGTCTGTTCAAGACTAGAGTTGATGAGCACAAGAGGGATGTCAGGTTGACTAAGGACAGAGTTCCCACCCCTGGCTGAACATGTATGGTCGCTACAACATCAGATTGACCTTTAGTCCACGACCATATTAGCTCAAGAGTCAAGACTATCGCACCATCTTTTTCAAGAGTCATGAGAAACGACACCATCAACAGAGACAGGGCTCCTTGTCGCCTGTTTATCGGTGTCTATGATAAACTTAAATTCAAAATCCTTCCATCCTGTTCTTTCCTTTTGCAATCTCACCACTGAAGAAGGCCGTAGCTTTCAGCTGAAACGTTTGGTGTAACTTATGTTCTCTGTGACTGGTGTAATCGAAATTTATTTTTTTGCTGTCCTGTTTGCTCCGCCCAGTGTTCTGGGTGCGTAGTGGCCCTAGTGCTATTGCTGCTTGAGCATTATTCCTAGTGTTTAAAGTCCAAGAAATTCACCCATGTTTCAATACGTTCTTTAGGTGTGTAATCGCTCACGAGTATGTACTTATTGTTGTGTGGCCAGAGAACAACAACATTTTCCTCTTCTATTGGGACTCGAAACCAGGCATATAATAAGACTTAAAAAATATTATTCTTTCTCCTTAGCATTTCAACCCATTAAGTTTAAAAGTGCAAAACAAACGCTTGGCGAACTGCGCATGCGCTGTATAACGCTAATTGATGGGCTGGGCAATTAATTCGTGGTCTCTCCACGCTAGTATAGCTCGCGGAGAGTCTGAGCATGCGGGAGTCGATACACGCCCTTCGGTGTGACTTCTTGCGCGAGGTAAGCTTGTTCTAATTAGCATATTACCTTTTTCGCTCGTGTTTCACGCCGTAACTCCAGAATGCAGCAATTTCAGAGAAAACCCCACATACTTTTCGACCTTTATCCGACGCTGAATACATGGTATCGTTTGTGGAGCGATTGATTGCTCGTGAAGTGAGATAGCTCGCAGACGCAGACAGACAGACACACACACGACAACTATCATAACCCTCACTGCGCATGCGTGCCGAGGGTTAACTAGCTGACTCTGCTAATGTGCCTGAAAATAACTCTCAGAAAAGGGAAGCATGCCCATAGGAAACCTTTAAAGTCATCTAAAAGACATTTCATTTTGTTTACACTCCTTGATTTGTCCCCCCACAAGCAGAGCATCAAAGAAGATCATTCAGCTATGACATTATATGCCTTACTACTCTTTGTAGTCTGAAGCCTCACAACATCAAAGGAAAAAGTACTACTAGAGTAGGCCACCGATGATCGGGCTACATATATCTTCGGACGCTCTCCTGAACCTTTAGCAATGAGATTTCAATTAATCTAACATGCAATCGATACTACATGAAAAGTATTACCAGCGTGCAAAACAAGAATGTCCCGCGATGTACACTCGACGTGTTACAAAGCGCCAAAAATCGTATTCGGACACAGGTATATTCGGATTTGGGAATCAAATGCCGGACCTCAGGAGAACAGAGTCAACGTCCGTGGGAAGGTACCGCACCATGAAGGCTAGGTCCGCACTTGCGCGCACGACCCATCCTGCAAAGAATCCCCGGGGTTAAATGGTGCCGCGCATGTGCAGTACGGCAGAACAGCTCGGACACATGGCAGCAAGACATCCAGGCTTCATAGAGGTAAATCCTAGCGAATCAACGCCAATATGCGGCTCAGAGCGGGAAAGGAAGCGTTTTAATGAGTGAACTTGCGTTTCTTTTGCACCTTTAGTGTGTGGATGACCTGTTGCATGCAGCATCCTGGAGGATTACATGCCAATCAGCCAGAGCTTGCAACCTCACATGTGGATGGTGTGCTAATAACATACAGATCTCTCTGTTGCCTACTGCATTGTAAGATACGTGGTTCTGGGCATTGGGTATTTAATGCTCATGGTACTGGGCATTGGGTATTTTATGCTAGCTGTATTCTGGTCTTCTCCACCATGTTGTTCTGTAACAGGGCTGGCTGGTCCACAAGACATTGTCTGAATCACAAAGCTGCCAACCGATAAAAGCAACCATAAGTATAAATATTGCGGGATATCCGTACAAATTCACCTATTTTCCGTACGAGTCTTAGTGCGCATGCACGCTTCTGCGGAAAGTCTTGAACAATCTAGCTTTCCTCACCTAGAGTCATCGCCCGAGCCACACTCTGTGTAGTTCACGTCGTCGGTAAAGCTAAAATATCTCCGTGTTCGCCCACAGAAAATTGCGAAGGATGTTGCGTCCGTAAATAACCGTGCAGTTCCGTACTTCCCAGACCCTATAAAATCCGTAAAAATACGGAAGAATTCGTATAGTTGGCAGCACTGGAATCATCTGCATGATGTGTGCATACTCTTGTGTGCGTTGAAGAGCAAGGGGTGGAGGTAACTTAGAGGCTGGAGAATGTACAGTGAAACCTGTATAATCTGGTCACCCTTAGGCAAGGGCGTAGTGTCTTGATTCGTGAGGTGGCTGCACTAGAAAACTACAACTATAATTATTCAGCCAAATGGTCGATCTCCCTTTTCTGCCTTCGTTACACTTGTTAATCTTTGAGGTCGAAATTATGCACTATTTCCAAGACGGTCAGCTTGTGTGCAAGAGACAGGAGTCCGATCCCCGCTGGTTTCATTTATAGACATGACTTTGTTTCTTTTTTCACGTTTTAGTTGTGTATTATGGCGTAGATCTGTGTCTTCCCCGCTGGTTGGTATTTTTTCATGTGTTATGTTTAATTGTGTATTATACAACACAATGGCGCAGTCTGGGGCGTGGATACATGGCCGGATAACGCATTAGACAGTGACCGCATTACGCGGCATATGTATGTAGTTGGGCTAGTGATCGGGGCTCAGGGAATATTACTAAGGTGACCGTTAACTCTGGTTTCACTCTATCATAGTTACCAAAACTTATGGGGTTGGTCCACAATGTGCTTTATTCAGGGAAATGATCCGAGCCAAGGCAGCTGCTGGAACTTGTCCATTGAAGGGCAGGGTGCTGAAGTCGTCTGGACTGCAGTCATGGTCTTCCTCTGACATCGAAGACTCATGTGAAGTACAAACGCTGGAACGAAGAGCATGTCGCAAATGCAGTGAAGGCAGTGGGCTACTCTGTTCGCCGTGCCGCAGAGGAGTATGGTGTGCCGAAGTCCACCTTGATCGGGTTTGCGGGAGACACCTGCCAGGGTTGAAGAGTGGGCCCGAATTAATCTGACGGAGAGGAGGGGAGGGAATTGAGGAGTTCTTGATAGGTTGTGCATCGGTGGGTTCGCCAAGTCTCGTAGCCAGGTCTTGGAATTAGTTTAGGAACTGCTTAGGCGGAAGGGAAGGAATGTAACTGTGTCTATGTGAAGAGGTCATCCTAATATATAACTCGCGCACTGCCTGCTCGCCACTCGCCTATGCAGATTTGTGGGGAGCGAATCCTTGCGTTAATGGGCGCGCTACTTGACCTCCTGGAGACGCTGGAAAAAATGAGCTGCACGATAGCCATTGCAGATTTTCAATTTAGAACGAAACAGGCATGCCCTGTGTCCAGCCCTCCACACCTAGTTGCTGGGCTGGAATGAAGAATCCCTATAGCTCCGTCATCTGGAGATAGGTCACAATTACAGTTCTGGCCTGTTGTAGTGCGAGTGGCTATGCATTTCCACCTTTGCATCTTCGGCGTTTTATCTCTCAAGCCAGAGCTCACAGAGGGAGAGTTCCTGGGACCATTTATGACTCTCAAGGAGGGTTGGATTGATGGCGAACTCTTTGAGCTTTGGTTTTGACGTCATTTCTGACCCATGTCTCCGCCAGTCCTGCCCTGATGCTACTACTCATGTTTAGATGGCCAGTCACTTCATCACATTACCAACCATGTCGGTTATAACAAGACAGCTGCCGAAGACAGACCGAGTCATCCATCCTCCCGACCACCTCCCACATAACCACACATCCAACGTTGGACAAGGGGACGTTCGGGCCATTGAAGACCATTGCAGCACACAGAGTGCTGGCGACTATACAGCAGCAAGCCTAGGGGAAGGTAGTGACGAGAGGTACCAGTTCTCAACGCTATTTAGGGCTGCGTGGGCGACGGGCCTCACTCATGACAGACACCATCATCGCTGGATTTCGCACTACGGGTCATCTTTCCTTTGATCGGTCAGCGGGTTGATCTGAGAGGTTCTCATGGGGTACCAGAGAACACGGATGTCACTACCGCAGAGAAAGGTGACAACCAGAAATATAAAAAACTCTTGAAAACAGCTGCATAAAATACTACTATGTTAATAAAAAGGGATAGCTAGGCATGCAGCTCAGGTCCCCTGTTCAGCCCCTTCCAACTCACTCAGATGTAGCCCTCGTTAAACTCAGGGCCCCGTGTTGGTTGAGCAAGTGAGATGGATGTGCTATCAGACGACGGTATGATGAGGGTTATGACGATACCTGACCAACGGTACCACCAATCAATGGGTGAAATATGTGTTCATTCCGAAGTCCACTGCAGAATCGAGTCCTCTGCCGACGCTTGAGCCTACTCCTGACCCACAACGCGATTGATCAGTGGTATGCAGACGAGATCTATCTCCTCTGCAGCACCATGACAATAGTTCAGCTTTACTAGAAAACTTCTCTGGAACCTGGCGAGTAGCACACCTTATTCATCTGTTAAATAACAGTGTTCCTCCCCGTCATCATTTCTCTCACGGGTGCT